GATTGTGTTACACAAATCTCCCAACTGGGGGGGGGTTGCTTACCTAATAAATCAGCATTAGAAGGCCGATCACTGAAATGTAACTATTTCAGCCTTCGAACAGGATATATTGCTATAATATTACATTTAATTACTTATCATTTGATGTCGAGAGGCTCACAATTAGTTTTGTGTTATTTACAAGCAACCAATGTTTGGCGTATTAAATGAATTGTTGAAGAAAAAAAAAAGAAAGGAAATATTTAAAATTCAACAATCAGGAATATTACTGGGAAAAATCAATAATTCTTTCTCTGTTTTCAGATAAAGACAGAACATTCGGATCGGTTAGTTTTTGTTACTTTTCAGCAAACCACTTGATCTAGTTTTCAATTGGAAAGTCACTTCCATTATTTCTCGCAGGCAAGGTGACCTGACAAAATGAAATTTATAATCATGACTTTAAATTAATCTCTGTAAAATATTTTGTCAGAACATAGCAATATAAAAATAATTCTTATAGTTTAATGGCCTTTATAATTTACAGGTCAATTGCATTTGGTTCAATCCATCCTATAACAATACAATTAAAAATAAAATAAGCAAAATATTCTTGAAACTAATTGACAAAAAATTTCTTAAAACAGCAAATTCTAAAAAATTATCAATAAAAATACAAATCAGTTACAGCTGTATGGATAACATGGGAAAAAGAATAACTGAGCAAAAAAAAAAAAAAAAGATAATGCTCAACAAAATCAATAATAACAAAAACAATAATAAAAACAATTGCAATAAAATAACAATCAGCTGAATAACACAATCAAATGTAATTGTAGAAACAAAGAAAATTGCCTACTTAATAACAAATACTTAACCAATAATATATTATACAAAGCTACCGAAAATAATGTTAATAGGAAAATAATTCGAAGAATCAGGCGGTTCACCAGAGTTCTTAAAAATAGGAACTACAGAAAAGGATTTCCAACAAGCCGGAAAGGGAGAAACAGCAAGGCATTTGTTGTACAGATTGGAGAGAAAAGAAGCCAATTCAGGAGCACATTTATTTAGGACAATTATTGGGATAACATAAAGTCTGCATACCATGACTAGAAATGATAGCGGAAACTATGGACAGTTATATATATATATATATATATATATATATATATATATATATATATATATATATATATATATATATATATCACAGTAGAGACTAAGTTCTAGCTGTAAAATCAGGCAAAGATAGTTATGTATGGTACGGTTATTAGCGTGTAAAGTGGAATCAGCGAAATGAGGTCAATTCCAGGCTTAGTCTGTTACGTTCGATCCATAGGAATGTCCTTGAGTAAGGTATGGATGCATTTAATCTATCTGTAGGATTAGGTTAAGTAGCAGGGTAGACTGGATTCTCTAGCCTTAGGTGGCAACCAGTCAATGAGAATGACAACATTGAATTCAAAAAACCGTAGTTAAACCCGTCCATTATGAGACTTAAAAAATGAATGATATTTACTAAATTTAGCTTAGCCCGAGACAAGGCTAGATAGGGTAGAAACAGGATGCAGCAAGATTGTGTAGTGCTAATCATCCAAGTGCTTCCTGCTTTGAAAATCGTGGCTTTTATCTGCACATACCCGATAATATAATACCCGATAGAAACAAACAAAAAACTCGGCTACGAGGTAAAAGGTGTTTTCTTTATTAGCACTTATTATCTCGTCTAGTGATATACCGGAAGACCTGGGTAGATCCATTTCCATAGCACTGCATAAGAAGCCAGGTGCAAACGAATGTGAACTCTATCGGACAATCTGTCTAATGAGTGACAAAATTTATCAACCGAAGTCTGATGAATAGAGCTCGTAGAAGAATTAAACTGGAAATAGGACAATAATAGTGTTGGTTCGTTAAAGACACTGAAACAGGAAATACGATATACTCAGAATGGTATCAGAAAGAAGTAACACAAGTGCAGAAGGATGTATACCTATGCTTTTTATAGGTTATGCAAAAGCGTTTGATTAAGTAAGTCAAAAAGAACTGTTGGAACTATTAAATAACCTTGACTTATTTGGGAAGGACATTAAAATAACCCAGAACCTAAACTGGCAGCAAACCATTTGCATACAGATAGCAAATGAATTCAGTAAATATACAAAAATAGAAAGATGAGAATGTGTTTTCTCACAGGACTTATTCAACCGATACAATGAGGTGATTCTGAGACAATTACAAGACCTACTAGGATTCATTATTGGTGGCCACAATCTTAACAACGTAAGATATGCAGATGACATGTTGATGGGTTGATAGCAGACACAGAAAGGAAACTACAATAACTCCTACAGAGAGTAGAAAAGGAAAGCGAGAAGAAAGGACTAATTATCAATTGAAATAAACCAAAATGCATGGTTGTTGGCAAAAAAACAAAAAACAGCCCAACAGGCAAATTACAAATTGGAGATACCAAAATCAAACAAGTACAGCAATTTAACTTAAATCCGAAGGCGCATTGAGTTAGAGAAAGATGCTTTCCAAAAGCTAAGCGAAGTATTAAGAAAGAGAAAAATTTCGTTAGAAGTAAAGAAAAGAGTGCTGAACTGCTAAGTAATAGCAATCCTCCTATATGGCAGTGAATGCTGGTCAATCTCTTCACAGATGAAGAAAAGAATTCAACAAAAATGTGGTTCTATAGAAGGATACTGAGAATACTATGGTTCGAACATGTGATCAACGATGAAATTTTAGAGAAAATGAAAACAAAAGAACACTAATAACATCAGAAAGAGACTGTAGAAATTTATTTGGCACTAATTAGGAAAGAGGGTTTGGAAAATTTGATACTCACAAGACAGAGTGAAGGCAAGAGGGACAAAGGAAAACAACGCATAGTGAGTAAATGGATGGCGCAACACGGTTTAGGAGAGATAAAAAAAAGACAACATTTATTATTTTCGTCCTCTGATGGAAATTTACCTTGATATATATATATGTGTGTGTGTTGGGATTAAATATGCATCAAAATCCGACAGAATGGTAAGATAAAGAGCAAATAGGAAACCATCTAACGTGTTCCACTTTTACGAAAGCTTCATCAGGGAATGAGATATGAAGAAAAAGAAGAAATACATTCTATTAATTTTATTTTTGTGTTTGATTTTCATTGCTTAACCATGTTTCATGTGCATTCGTTTTGTTAAAGAAACGATGCCGTAATCTGTGGCGTTCCGAATTCAAAGAGAGACGACGCGTTCATTCGAAGTTTCAAGAAATCAACGAATTCCAAGCTTAGCATTAAAAACTGCAAATATTGGATTATGTAAGTGTATAATAATAACTGTAGTTTATCTATGTATGATTCAGATGATAATGTATATTCGCTTTTATAGTTGGTAATATTGTTATTATTTAGTACTTTCGACGTAAGAAAATTGTTTTTTTTTAATTAGGGTGGCATTTGTAAAATCAAAGTTATGGCCAGTTGTGTTTTCTGCATATTACGAGAGAGTTTGAATGGTTGCCTAAACGTAAATTTCTTTTGTGTTCGTAGGTACGGGTTTTTAAATCTCGTGATGTCTCTCAGACATAAATGTTTTTACATTGTGAGCAATTTATTTGATAAGTACCGACATCTAAATTGGTATTGGATTTATTAATTATATTCACGATAGTTTTGGACGTGGTAGTAAAGATCCTAGTATTAGGATAACTAATTTATTTACAAATTTTGTAGAAAGAGTGTTAGAGGGTTGGATTATGAATTTTGTATTGATGTTGTTAGAAGTGCTAGTGTTGGTGCCTAATTTTTTGGATTTGTGGATTTTGTAAGCTCGTTTTCTAGCGTTGAGGATGAAATCAGGTGGCTAGTCTAAGAAGTCTAAATGTTTTCTCAACGTATTTCTCTTCTTCACCTAGGTATTCTGGGTTACATATCCTAAGGGCTCTGAGGTAGGATCTTATGACTAATACTGATTTTATTTTTTGATTGTAGTGGGAATAGTCTTTCTTTGGATTTTTAGGTGGATTATTAGCATACTGAGAATATGTGAATATATAATCTAATAAAAATCTATTATAATCTATTAAATTATTATTATAATCTATTAAATTATTATAAACAAAAACGATCTAATTTCTATTCACACCACAATCAAAAAATAAAATCAGAATTAGTCATAGGATTCTACCCCAGAGCCCTTAGGATATGTAACCCAGAATACCTAGGTAAAGTAGAGAAATGGATTAAGAAAACATTTAGACTTCTTCATTACTCATATCATTTCACCCTTAATGTTTCTTTTGGTTCTACTGTAGATTATAAAGACCAAATTACAATGCCAAAAAAATGGTTCCGACAAAGTGATTTCTGTTGCAATAAGCTATCAATATTCAGCATTGAAAGAAAAATACTATTGTTTTAATTATCCGTAGAACCTCTCACCCGCAGTTATTGTCCTAAGTTAAAAAAAAAAGTAAAAGCTGATGCAGATATTCATAAAAATATTTGTTTCCTTCCTTATTTAATCGCATGTTATGATATGTGCTGCCAATGTTAACACATTATTACAGATAGATACAAAATTTTTTTTGTAAAATTGGTGAAAAAAAAAAAAAAAATTCAAAACAGTCATCGGTTTTTTCGGAGATTCATATTGAAGCGTAAAATGTTTTATTATTCTATTTTTTATTATTCAAAGTTAAGATTTTAAAATCATTGGTCCAAATCGATCTTTAATTGTGAACAATTTTAATGTAAACATTTGAATAATTAGCGTCACCTAATTATTAATATTATAATTGACGATGAGTTTTTTTTTATTTCAAACTTGACTCCTTAAAGAGATCACTTTAATGAGGTTCGTATATTTTAAAACTCAGCGCAATGTTTTCTAAGAATTAAAAAAAACAACAATTTCTTTTCTGTATGAGCATGCGCAGACACAAACACACTGAAAAAAAAAGAGGGTAAAAGATGCTATTGAGAGTTCAGTCTGTTTATCTGTCAAGTTGACCACAGTTTTCCCACCGATTCCCGTACGTTCACCGAAGTTAAACTACGTCGAGCCTGGTCAGTACTTAAATGAGTGACCGATTGGGAATACAGGGTGCTGTCAACTTGTATGTGCGGGGGGTGTAATGGATAATGGCTCGGAATTGTTAATCGGAGGACCGAGTTCCAATTCCAGTCGGGCAAATACTCATAGGAAATGTATGAATTCACCTTTTCTCTCTCCAGCTATCGGTTAATTAGTAAGATTTTTATTACTTAAACATTATTATCTAAAAAATGTAGAAATTTACGACCTAAAAACATTTTCTGGTTGCAAAATCGTAAAAAAACAAAACAAAACGAATCAATCAATCAATAAAAACCAATGTTTTCCGTGTCTCACCAGATATTTCACATATAACTCGAAATCACTTTAAAAGCTGTAATTTTTATCATTTGCTTCTCTGAGGGAGATATTTTGCAATTTAGTTTAGCAGTTAGCTGAACCCTTGGGTAATAAATACTCTGTATACATGCATAAATGCATATAAATAAAGTGAACATTCAATTTTAGTTGTTACTACTAATGCTCTATTCTCTTGATATTGGGTATTTTAATTATAAAGACTGCTTTCCTTAAAAACGTTATTGTATCTTTCTCTACCTACCTCTCTGTATGTATATATATATATTAGTTTATTAAAAACTAGGTAATCCGTATGGGTAAACCCAAGGAGGATAAAATCCAGAGAGCTCAATGCAAATTCAGAGCAAATAATTTAAATAAAATTAGACCACTAATACTAATAATCTTATAAATATAAGCAGCTATACTCTATCGAGCACTTAGAAAAATTAACTATCATGGAACGTGTAAATATATTTACTTTATATATATATTTATATATATATATATATATATATATATATATATATATATATATATATATATATATATATATATATAACCGTTTTTCTTTTCTAGATGAAAATTAGCTTTAGAAATCGCTCACATAATTTTATTTCAGCAACGGAAATTGCATTTTGGAAATTATAAGAATAAATAAGAACACAAAGACGTTTTTTATCGATTTGATTTTACATTCTATCAACCTTTTTTTAGGATATTTAAAGCCAAAAATATTTTTAGATTGTAAGAATTTCTTTTGAGATTTTTACTGATACAAGTCCTACTAATTAAATAGCTGGAAGGAAGAAGAGGCTGATTCATACCTGTCCGAAGGGTATTTGCGTATAAATAAATGAGTGAATATAAAGAACTCGACTGTAATTTGAACTTGGCTCTCCGATCTCTAAATCTGAGCCGTCATTCATTCCACCGCCCGCACGCCCAAGCTTTCAGCACCTGCTATTCGCAGGCGGTCATTTCATCTAGGTACCGACCAGGCTCGACGTTGTTTAACTTCGGTGTTAGTACGAGATCCGGTGTTTCAACATATTGTCGTAGGCCACTTAAAGAAGTGTAGAATATAGAAAAGCGTAAATTTACAACATGTACACAAACATGAAGCCATAAGTTTCTTTCTCGATTTTATAAAAATGCTTATTATTTTATTAATTATTATGCATTTATAGAATATTGTTAAAAATAGGATGGTTTGCGTAAAATTTGTTGGTATGTTGTTATGTTTATTTCGGAGTATCGTCATCCTCATCTTGAATTCTTTTAAAAATGTTTCATTGTACAAAATCAGTTTTCTGATTAAATTTCGACATTCGTTACTATTTAAAAAGGCTATTTTATTCATCCAGTTAAAAGAAAAGCAATCAAACAAACAAATAAAAAACAAATGGTGGCAACGTTTATTTTTCAATAGCATTGTACATATTCAATATCAAAAACTAGGTGTTGATGTTCTGTACTTCCAGGATATTATTTTCTTTCGTATACGTCACCAGAAGAAGTAACAAAAAATAGAGGTTGGTTATGTAATTCACTACTCTCTATGTATTGGACTCTTCAGATGGCACAAAATAGTACTACACGTATTATATATTGATATAAATTGATGGTTACATGTAGATATAAAAATAAATACCTGTTGAAATACGTTTACACAGATAAATTTTTGATGTAAATATTTTTATTATTTAATTGTAAATTGCTAGATGCAATCGTCAGGCCAGGTGGACTGACGATTGCATCTAGCATGAAACAGACTGTCGCCTCTAAGTATTGACTTCTATCTTCACTTTTATATTTACACGCGCGCTATCTCCGATATTGAGCACTTTATCCCATAAATATAACACATCTTAAGATATATATATATATATATATATATATATATATATATATATATATATATGCCGTTTATTTTAGATGACAAATATATTTAAAAAAAATAATAGACTGTAATTCCCGTATAATATTTGTTTGACTGCGCCAACATTGCGGTAATCAGATATCTTTTATTCAAATTTTAATTACTTAACGGCCCGTGTATACCCAGTACCTGAGGATTGCGTTGTACATGAAACTCCGAGTAGTGTTACCGGTGAAGGATATGAATTAAGATCAAATACAGATCAAATATGGATTGGAATCCGGCAAAATGATAGGATAATGAACAAATAGGAAACGTTTATCAATTCAACATGTTTTTATAAAATTTTATAAGATATATCGCATACTAATAAACAAACACATACACACACACACATATATATATATGATACGAGATAACGATATATATTCTACGTATCAAGAACAGAATTGAGGAAATTGTCTTACAATGCGTACTACGTGCATAAATTCTTTGAATCTCAAAATATTTTCTGGCTTTAAATAACCTGCAAAAAGTTGATTATACTCTAAAAAACAAATCAATCGATCTCTCTCTCTCTCTCTCTATATATATATATATATATATATATTTGTATATTAAATAAAGGAAAATAAAAAAGCAGAATCTAAATAATGAAATGTTCATTATACGTTAATAGACGTGTCTCGTTATTAGTGCCAACAGTTTAAAATGGGATCCATCGATTTGAGTTTAGTGCCCAAGTCAACTGACCTGTAATAAATTGGCTTCGTTCTTTGATGATGACTCATCTCTAAAATCACAAGTTGCCCGCCAAATTCGTAATCTGAAGTGGCAAACGCTAAAACTGTTCTACACAACCATACACTTGAGTCATTGATTAGATCGTATATAGGTTGGAAATCGCTTTCACAAGCCAGGCTTATACATCTGGTCTTCATAAATTAACGTAATATAAACAGGCTGTGTAATGACCACAGATCTTCTATCGATGTGATGTTAGCGTGAGTAGAAAAAGTCAACTTGCTATTCTGTAGCTGATATCAGCCCTCAGTTTATTCGCACGTAGAATGGATGAGAAAGAAAATTCGAATAAGGTTTCATTATTTCAAATCGTCTACATACAGCAGTGTGGCTTGCAGACTTGATTTGAACTAAATGCTTAATGGTTGCTTTATAGTGATTTTCCAAGCGTAGCTTAGATGTGGCACAAGGCCGAAAGAATGAGGTACCCAGTGAGGATCAAACTAACTCTTCAATCGTAATTGTTCTAGCGAGACAAGCTTGCTAACTATTACACCGCCTGGTTGCTTTATATATGCATTCCTTTGCCAAATCTATATCGGTACCTGTTGACGTGTACTTCGTTGCTCATATGTCTTGTCCTCTTTTAATGACGTCACAGTATCGAACACGAGTAACATTCTTTTTGGTTAGACCAGTCTTGAACCTCTTTGACCACGCTATACTTTTGAATATAAGGAAACTAACATTTATACTTTTAAAACGTTATCTATACAAAGATTTAACAAGATGATAAATTTACAGATTAGCACACAGATTATTGGACTTAATCTTTAATGCAAAGCTTTTCGTTTCATTCGAATTTTCACCTTCAAATCATAATTACCAGATTGAGCTATAAGTGACGAACTGGGATACATCCAAAATACAAGCACTACTAAATTTTGAATTTTGGCTCTCTCGTTAGTTAACCTCGGATATTTTGAGAGAAGTCCCGTAAAGCTGGAAGTTTTGAAATTAAAATTTTATAAGGCCGAGGCTTTCCAGTTTACCCCAGTTAGCGTCTTGTCGATTAGTTTTGCAATTCCGCTCCAAACACGTCAGAAATCATTTATAATTATTTTTATTTACTTTGGTAAAAGATATTTTATTTCTCTTTTTCGCTGAAATATACTGACAGAAAATAAAATCGCAACACCGCGAATGTGGGTTTTAATTTACTCAAGATTAAACCCGCACTTATACGAGTTAGATTACAGCAAATGATTTTATATACGTGCGCACGTCCCTAAATAAAGCACGTATCAATAGTAGCTAGATCCTATATTTGATTGTATAATAGAGCAAGTCAATTTTGGAAGCGTGACATTGCATCCAATTTGAAAGTTGGGCTGCGACATGATAAATAATGACACAAAATATCGATTTCCAAATCCTTACCATTTTTAGATGAAAAGTGTTTAAATGATTAAGTTTAGGTTAAAAAACAAAGCGTTGGAATTTCATTCTGGAGATCAGAGAAAGCCTTAAAGCACAGCCTTATAAAATTTATAATTTTGTTTTAATCATTTCACCCCAAACAAAGCGAGAATGCCACTAGTACGCACGGGGGTTACAGAGAGTGAAAGTGAAAGAAAAGACGGGGTATAGGGGGGGGGCATTGAGGAAAGGATAAAAGATGAACGGGATTCAAAAAGATAGATGATGGCGATTAACGTTCTCTTTAAAATTTTGAGGATTGTAGTTATCAGGAAAGCAAGTAAACAGAAGGGATTTCCACAGGCGGGAAATGCGAAAAAAAAAAAAAAAAAAACCCAAAAAACTGTTGGAGTAGAAGCGGTGGTTGTATTTAATTATTTCAACAGTAAAAGGGTGTGACCTAGATACCAATCTAGTAGCACGCTTAAATTCACATAGTCAGGCCACCAGTATAAAAAAAAAGAAAGATCGCCAGAACAGTTGGCATGAAAATATTTGTAGAAAAGACAGAGGGAAGCCACGTCACGTCGGAGAGAAAGAGACTGAAGTCGAGATGCCAAGTCAGGATGGATTACATTGCAGATCCTTCTTCGGATTTTGTCAAGAACCTCGAGATGAATAGCAGGGGCACCAGACCAGATAAGGCAACAGGATTTAATGCACAGACGAATGGTAGATTTGTAAATGGTCAAGATGGACTCTGACGAGAAAAACTTTCTGGTACGACACAGTGACCCAACTTTCCTTGCAGTAGATGCAGCTATTGATTCAATATAGTCGTTCCACTTCAAGTCACTTTAAAATGTGTGGCCAAGAAGGCGCAGTGTGTTGTCCAACATGAGTCTGGCATTAGCCATGATGATGGCGGGCAGGAAACTTTCTCTGTGGTGGTTAAATGAGAGCAGTTTTGTTCTGGAGGCATTAAAATTTACAAGCCATTTCCTGCCCGAGTTAACCACTGATTGGAGGTCCTTTTCAAGAGCAGCAGCCAGGTTTACTTTGTCAATTTTTACCCAGGAGAACGGGGGTGACACATTGCCACACGCGTACACAAGATCAATGGAGACAAGCCGATCGGGAGCGATACGAGCCGTCAACTCGCCGATAAAATCCCAGAAAAGGCGCACCTGAGGACAATGGTAGAAGGCGTGCGAAGTCGTTTCCTTTAATCCAAGGTCACACCGATGACAGTCAGGCAAATCTGCCTGGCCCCATTGAGAGGTAGCGCCTTCCGAATCAATTGCCAGATAAGCGAAAACTCAGGGTTGCTGAAATAATCCGCTGCTGGCACCAAAGACCAGAAAGAACGCAACAGATGCCGACTAGCCGAGCCGGAAAGACAGAGGATCTTTCGCGACCCCCTCCACTGATTCATGATACAATAACCTACGAGGCCGAGAAAGGTCACTGGACCGAGGAAAGAGCTTCAAGGCCGACCGACACTAGCTGAGGAAACTCGTCAACCTTCCACGACCGTGATGGCGCTTAACCCAATAAATATAAGGAGTAAGGCTAGGGAAGGCGTCCCTAACACTCGGCACCAAAAGGACAACCTCCTTAGGAGCCAAGTTCGGACCAACGTTCCGACCTTTGCCTGTACCGCTGACCAACTCTTCTTTAGCTGAAGTCCGGGCCCGAACCACACTCCAAGAATGCGGACAGGTCCATCAGTCCAGCCAAAGGGCCCCGGAAACATGACCTCTTTTCAGGCACGTAACCGCAAGCCGGGAGACTTGTTACGGTTAATCTTGGCTCCCATCACCTTCTCGTACCGTTCAAACGCCTTCTGAACAACCTTAATGTCGCTACGGCAAGACACGAAAATGGATACGGCATACGCAGAATCCCTGGCTCGAGCTACACCAGGGACAGCGATTCCGTGTAGGGCCGGACTGCACGTCTTGTCGCTCAGCTGGCGAGGAGGGGCACCAACGCCAAAGCGTAA